GACGGTTTCGCCATCTGGTACACCAAGGACAGGATGCAGCCGGGTAAGGGGCGTGGGGACACCTGGGGACACCTGGGACAGCTGGGGACACCTGGGGACAGCCTGGGGACACCTGGGACAGGGCTTGGGGACACCTGGGACACCTGGGACACCTGGGGCAGGGTTTAGGGACACCTGGGACAGGGCTTGGGGACACCTGGGACACCTTGGGCAGGGCTTGGGGACACCTGGGGACAGCTGGGATGGGGCTTGGGGACACCTGGGACACCTGGGGACACCTGGGACAGGGCTTGGGGACACCTGGGGACAGCTGGGATGGGGCTTGGGGACACCTGGGGACACCTGGGGACACCTGGGACACCTGGGGACACCTGGGGACACCTGGGACAGGGTTTAGGGACACCTGGGACACCTGGGGACAGCCTGGGGACACCTGGGACACCTGGGACACCTGGGACAGGGCTTGGGGACACCTGGAACAGGGCTTGGGGACACCTGGGACACCTGGGGGCAGCTGGGATGGAGTTTGGGGACACCTGGGACACCTGGGACACCTGGGGCAGGGTTTAGGGACACCTGGGACAGGGCTTGGGGACAGCTGGGGACACCTGGGACACCTTGGGCAGGGCTTGGGGACACCTGGGACAGGGTTTAGGGACACCTGGGACAGGGCTTGGGGACACCTGGGACACCTGGGGACACCTGGGACAGGGCTTGGGGACACCTGGGACAGGGCTTGGGGACACCTGGACGCCAAGAATTCCCTTTTCCCTTCCAGGACCCGTTTTCGGGAGCAAGGACAACTTCCTGGGGCTGGGAGTGTTCGTGGACACCTATCCCAACGAGGAGAAGCAGCAGGAGGTGAGGCACGGACTCTTCATCCTCCTCTTCCTCCTCTTCCTCCTCTTCCTCTTCCTCCTCTTCCTCCTCTTCCTCTTCCTCCTCCTTTTCCCAAAAAAAAAATCGGGAAGAAAATCAGGGAAAATGGGAAAAGCCGGGGTTGGTTTTTTGGGGAGAGGATTTTGGAGTTTGACCACACCGTGAGTAAAGCTGGAGTAGAGGTTGAGGAGGTTTTCCCTCCTTCTTCCTCCTCCTCTTCCTCTTCATCCTTTTCCCCCCCAAAAAATTGGGAAGAGAATCAGGAAAAACGGGAAAAGCCGGGGTTGGTTTTTTGGGGAGAGGATTTTGGAGTTCAGCCACACCAAGAGTTCTACACTGTGAGTAAAGCCTGAGTAAAGGTTGAGGAGGTTTTTCCTCCTTCTTCCTCCTCCTCTTCCTCCTCCTTTTCCCCAAAAAAAATCGGGAAGAAAATCAGGGAAATCGGGAAAAGCCGGGATTGGTTTTTTGGGGAGAGGATTTCAGAGCCACACCCACACTGGGAATTCTACACCATGAGTAAAGCCTGAGTAAAGCTGGAGTAGAGGTTGAGGAGGTTTTCCCTCCTTCTTCTTCCTCCTCCTCCTCCTTTTCCCAAAAATAAATCGGGAAGAGAATCAGGGAAAATGGGAAAAGCCGGGATTGGTTTTTTGGGGAGAGGATTTTAAAGCTCGACCACACCGTGAGTAAAGCCTGAGTAAAGCTGGAGTAGAGGCTGAGGAGGTTTTTCCTCCTTCTTCTTCCTCCCCTTCCTCCTCCTTTTCCCCAAAAAAAAATCGGGAAGAGAATCAGGGAAAATGGGAAAAGCCAGGGTTGGTTTTTTGGGGAGAGGATTTTAAAGCTCGACCACACCGTGAGTAAAGCTGGAGTAGAGGTTGAAGAGGTTTTCCCTCCTTCTTCTTCCTCCTCTTCCTCTTCATCCTTTTCCCAAAAAAATTGGGAAGAGAATCAGGAAAAACGGGAAAAGCCGGGGTTGGTTTTTTGGGGAGAGGATTTTGGAGTTCACCCACACCAAGAGTTCTACACTGTGAGTAAAGCCTGAGTAAAGGTTGAGGAGGTTTTTCCTCCTTCTTCCTCCTCCTCTTCCTCCTCCTTTTCCCCAAAAAAAAATCGGGAAGAAAATCAGGGAAATCGGGAAAAGCCGGGGTTGGTTTTTTGGGGAGAGGATTTTAGAGCTCGACCACACCGTGAGTAAAGCCTGAGTAAAGCTGGAGTAGAGGCTGAGGAGGTTTTCTCTCCTTCCTCCTCCTCTTTCTCCTTTTCCCGTCCTTTTCCCAAAAACTCTTCAAAAAGGTGAAAAAAGAGCTCCAAAAAGCTCCAAAGGAGCTCCAAAAGGGACAGGATTTTTTGGCGTTTCCCGGGATTTTCACATTTCCCGGGGATTTTTGGCGTGTCCTGGGATTTTTCCCGGTGCTTTCCCCTCTCTCCCCTCACCACTCCCAGGTCGGAATTCCCAGGATTTTCGTGTATTTCGGGAATTTTGCCAATCCCGGGGATTTTCACCCATCCTGGGATTTTCACATTTCCCTGGGATTTTCGCCTATCCCGGGAATTTTGCCAATCCCAGGGATTTTTGCCCATCCCGGAATTTTC